GGGGTACCCCAAGTGAGACAAAAAACAAATACAAATCTGACTTGGCACAGTTGATCACATAGGTCTGCTTCACAAATACATCTTGACTCAAACATGAGGAAAAACACAGAACAAGCTATGATTCCTCTTCTTTACATGTGTCAAATTTAAGGCCTGCAGGCTAAATGTGGCCCACCATGACATTTTATGTGTTCCACAAGAGCTTCAAAGATGTTTTAATGTCTTAACATAAACTGCTCTAAAGCCAGCATTGACCATAAACTACATCTCCCTTAACACAGTTACAGTATTTAACCAGCAAAATTCGCTGTGTGAAATTTCCATTCCATTGCAATTTTTCCAGCTACTTTTGCTGCGGCCCAGTTGTACTGGGAAGTGGGAGTTTCACCATTTTAAAATCATATACTTAAACTGGAACTTCCCTCCAGTGGGAATTCCCTGTCAAAAAGTGGGAGAGTTCAGAATTCAAGATCGCAACTACTCACCACAACTCAACAGTGAGTAAAACTCTTTTTTTCTTTAAAAATTATTTCTGTTTTATTTATTTCACATTTAGTCAGTTGTACGTGTAGTATTATTCAGTGCTTACAAGATGATGTGTTAAAATGCTGTTTCTATGTAGAAAATACCACATAGAGCTCAGTTGTTATTAGTAGTGTTCAGCTGTAGCAATGACATGAGGAATGTGACATTTTGTGTTTTTAGATAAGTTAAAGTTAAACACAAAGTTAAACATAAAATGTTAAAGTTAATTACAACTGGCCTCCATAACGCTCATGTGACCCTCAGTGAAAATGAGTTTGGCACCTTTGCTCTACTCTTTCAAGTCAAAACGCCTGCTGTAAAGACCTTTTGCTTTTTGATATTACACTTTAAAAGGATCACATTTGACATAAACTCAAAATCAGGATTTCATGCAGAATTTGAAAATTTTTAACAACTAAGACAACTAAAACACAAAAATTTAGATTGATGAGCATTCATTTACTTACCAGTTTGACAAAATAATGGCCAGTCTAGTGGACAAGTTCCACAACAGAACAATACCATAGAAGAATCCCAGGTTACACAAATTCATAGATATGCATGCAAGCTACATTTTATAAAACTTTACGTACAGTAGTTGTCAATTTTGCATTACAGGGGTAGGAAATGTTAGGCAGCACTGTAGCTAAATGCTACTACTTGGAGTTGTAAATAATCATTACATTATAATCACGTAGTGCAAAGCTGACAGCCCACATAGCAGACAGGTGTGGACCAGATCTGGTGCCAAGCTGGCAGACTCCTGGCAGGGCAAGTGGTTGGTCAACTAGATGTAGGAAAGGCCTGACAATGATGGCATTAATTACATAATGACCTTCCACAACTGGCTTTCCAGAACTGGCATCTAACTGACCCGGTTGTAGTTTGGTATGCTTGGCTCAAATTAAACTGTGCTACTGTACCACTGGCCTAGTTCTGGTTTGGCATATTTAAGTCAAATTTAACTGTGCCACAACTGCTTTGGTTATAGTTTGTTATGTTTGGCCCTGATCCAACTGTGCTACCACTGGTCCAGTTGTGGTTTGGTATGTTTGGCCCAGATCTAACTGTGCTACTACTGGTCCAGTTGTGGTTTGGTATGTTTGGCCCAGATCTAACTGTGCTACTACTGGTCCAGTTGTGGTTTGGTATGTTTGGCTCAGATCTAACTGTGCTACAACTGGTCCAATTGTGGTTTAGTATGTTTGGCTCAGATCTAACTGTGCTACCACTGGCCCAGTTATGGTTTGGCATGTTTGGCCCAGATCTAGTTGTGTTACCCCTGGCCCAACAGTGGATAGATTCATAAGGTGCTGGCTCATGCATAGACCACCTATAGCAAATCAGATCTGGGCACCAAAGGCCATCATTCTTTGAGGTTTCTTGGCCGAGTATTGGTGCATTGCGCGGGCCAGAACTGGGCCAGACAAAATTTTGCTATATTGGAGTGATGTGAAGGTTTTTAAACTAGTGTTTCCACAAACCACTCTAGCATTATTATGACCCCCGCATGCGAAGCGTAAGCGGGAGTCATATTGTTTTCGTACGTTTTTTTTCCAGTGATTTTTGTTCAACCGTAGCACAAAAATGGCTGCACCGATTAACATGAAATTTGGCAGGACTGTAGTTGAGTCTGACTTACACTGCACCAGCCAACGGTTTTACAATAGACCCCGTGTTTGAGGAGGGGGCTCCTTTCAAAGAGGGAGTGTCTGGACATGCAAAAATGGTCATAGCTCAAAAACTTTTAAACATGGAAGCTTCAGATATTTTTGTTGTTTAGCTCTGATGAAGCTCTATATATTAGGCCCACCAATCAGTGCCCCCACCCCCAGGACCCCCCAATTAATCAAAAAAGGGGTATCTGAACATACAAAAATGGTTATAGCTCAAAAACTGTTAAACATAGGAGCTTCAGATTTTCTTTGGTTGTTTAGCTCTGATGAGGGGCTGTCCATCAGGTTAACCAATGCTCCCCCACACAAAAAAAAGACCCCCATCCAAACCACTACAATTTTGGGATGCACCTAGTAGCATGACATTTATTAGGACAAAAGACTTCTGAGTTCTGGTGCATTTGTGTGTTCGGGGGTCATTATGTTACTGCTATGCCGTATCTAGTTGAGACTGGAGTTGTTTCAGGACAGTAGCAATCCTCTTTGGTCTTGGCTCTGATTGGACTAGCCATTACTTTGTCAACCCAGTTCTCTGAGCTATCTACAACAGGTAAGATTTTGTATGAAACTCCTGATGCATCATGAGCTCTGACAGGTAAAGTTTACAGTAAAGCAGCCGTTCTGACCTCTGACATGACGGGCAGGTTTTCACGAGGAAGTAACCACATTGGCTTGATTTGTCTCTGCTGGAGTTTCCTCAGCAACCGCTTCACCTTCCGATCTCTCGGGTCTGCACATTTCACTGCCTTCTTTGTGTAAAGACTATAAAAAAACAATAAACATTTTTTTAGCTGGCACAGGAGGGACCTGTTGGAGGAAACTGGCAGGTGTTTTAATGGTGTTGCATTTCAAATATGTCTCAAAGCAATGCAATAATATACTGTAGATATGAAAATAAATGGATCAAAACTGAATGAAGCAGGCGAAGTATTTTAGATGGAGTGGAAAATGCAGTGTTTGTGTGAACAGGATCATGTGGAAAAGGTCTTAAATCCCTTGCTACCTCAGATTTCTCAGGGCACTTGGAAACAATAGGTATCACAATGCAGTTTGCTTAACTAAACCCTGCTGTTCTGACTGACTGCTGTTACTGGCCTGCAAGGTAGTTTCCCACATATTTCCTTTCTTACTTTCCTGGCATTTACAGCTCCAAGCTCTGCATTAACAACTGGACCTGGAAAGATGACAATGCCTCTGAGCCGCGCTTCACTAATGAGAGGCATATTTTTCATTCCTGCAATTTGCTCCTAAGCCCCAGGAGCTGGATAGTTGAAATACTTGCATGATGGCTTGTATATTGCAGTCGGGCCCCTCGGTCTGCACCTCGAACCGCAGCACATCTTTGGTACGCACCTTGCCCTGGGAGTACAACATGCAGCACTGGACATCTCTCTGCATCTGCACGCCATTAGCTGGGAAACAAACAAAAACAAACAGAGGGTGTCACAAATTTCTTTTAAGTTATGCTCTGTTATTACTTCCTACAGTGTAATATATTTTAGCTTAACTTTAGCAGAACTTGCCAGAGCCATTAAAAAAGTTTTTCATTTTTACCAGAAATAACCTTGACATGAACTACACACACATTTTATATTCGTATTAGTGCAAGGTACCACTATTTCTGGAAGGTTTACAGGACAGGAAATGCTTTCCATCCTGCAGATTCTCCAGATTTTTGTGTGCGTACGGTACATAGTTATATAAACACGAGTATGTCAGATCAATTCCAGGGTTGGGAAACACATCATGCCTGTAAAAGGAGAGGAGAGGAGGTTTTGCTGTGATGTCGCCTCGTAAGAAACAAATGTAGCAGTAGAAGAAATGAGAGCTCTGAGCCGCTTCGTTGTGCTGATGCAGAATCATCCATGCTGCCACTACAAACAGAGCCCATCGCGCAGACTGACACAGTTCCCATCTCTCTGCAAGAGTGGTGATGCTCGTCCTCCTGCTTTCTGCCTCTGTTTACATCCATGCCTCCATCCCTGCTGCTGCTGCTGCTGCTGCTGCTGCTATATCTCTTTCCCTCCTTCCCTTTTCTGCCTTCGCCATGGCTCCGCTTGCTACAGCATCCAACTGCAGGGTGCATGCAGCCTATGCAAGACACACACACAGATATTCACAGAGTAGCCCATGCCCTACCTTCCACAGATGCCATGAAGACAGCAGTGAGACAGAGGACAGTCAACATCTGCAGGAGGAACATGGTGGCACTGGCAGGGAGGAGAGGATGATCCACTCTGTCACCTCTCCCTCTATATGGCTGCCTCGTAGATTACTCCCTCCCTCTCTTTATACCTCCCTGCCCATCTCTCACTCACTTCCACCATCTCTTTTTTTCTGTCTTACCGTCCTTCCTTCCCTCCCTCTGTTTGTCCATCCTTAGTCATTCTCACACTCAACTCTCTTCCTCCTTCTTTTTACACGTTCATCCCACCTCTCTCTGGTTTCTCCCCGCTCGTGTTCTCGCTCAGGATGCCAAGCTCCATTTGTTTTATTTCAGGCTTTAAATTCCTTCTTTCCTCCTCTCGCAGTTTTTTCCTCCTTCTCAGGACAGAGATCCAATGAGTCATGTGTGGAAATAACAACCAGTTATAAGTTATAAGTATTATTCAAGCAGGAGGATACTTCATCTTAAATTAATGTGATTTGACGGGAAATTGTTTCTGACGTAAACAAAACATTTAAAACTTTATTAGTTGTTGAAGTGAGAAATTTCCAGGGATTTGACTGAATTCTACTGATACTAGTTGGAAAGTGACTCAAGTAAAATGTAATGTAAATATTAGAAAGTTTTCTTATCTCGAAATTCTCAAAAATCATTAGAAATACGTCTACAACTGAATATCTTTTGGAACTAACCTAATTCCAAATGGATGCAACATATAATTGATTTTAGCAAACACAAAACATGTTTGTTAACTTCACAGATTATGGGCTAAAAATTGGTTTGGTAGTACGAGTCACGCCCCAACCCTTCTACCAGGTTGTTTGAGAAATCCCGTTCTTTTAATTCAAGTAACAATTAGTTCAAACAGTTTTTAATTTGTTTTAAGTGCAAAACAAGTAAAAAAAACAATGGTTTAAATAATTCAAATGATAAATAATCTCAGTTTGTTTAGCCACAGCAAACAGATGTTTTATAAGTTTTATGTTTGGGTTTCTCATGATGTTTTGTCATTACTCTTTGTTTCACTTGCTCTTTCCATTAACCTTCTGCTGACTCCACACACATAGTCCCAGTTTTTGCCATAAATTAATCCCTTATCTTCCTCTCAGCACACCTGAGATTTATGTTCTGTTGAATAGCCTTTGTTTGGGCTTTGTTTGTCTCCATGAGTATGTGACTTTTTTAAAAATATCTGCCACTGCATTTGCCTCTGTTTTCATTAATATTTTTTGGTTGTTTGCTGTTGTGCTGACAAATCCTTTTTTTTTTAAATCAGTCTGCTTTCTTTTATTGAATGCCTCATTCCTTCAAAACTGCACCAATTAAGAATTAAAGAACATGTAATCCTAACACCGCTGCATAATGCTAATTAGTTCAAAGTTTTTGTCCCATGTCTTTCAAATAAAACATTCAGATATACATCGAAATGGGTTTCTTTTTCAGGAATAAAGTGTGACGACTTGGTAGCAGCACATCATTCAATGTAGACAAAATGAACATTTATTTTTATCTTGGTTTTCCTTTTTTATACAAAGTTTGTGCTTCAAAATAGGCATATATGATGGACTGTAGTACTCATATTGATACATTTGTTATCATCATTATCATTATTATTATTATTATTATTATTATTATTATTATTATTATTATTACAATTATAATAATACCAGGGATCATTTGTAAAGTTTAGTCATTTCTTGACATTGTGAATAATCTTTGGTTGGTGGAACCCAATGGTGAATTTTTTTATCCAGGCCAAGTTGTACTGCAAACACAAACAGCTGAAAATGTTGATTATCTTATACTCTGTAAAACAGGTGAATAAAGGTGTTTATTCACCACCATCTCTATCATCTTCTGCAAGTCAGACAGAGAAGAAACTGCCATTGTAAACAAATAAAAACATTTAAATTATTTTCCTGTTTTTTGCTTAGGCTAATGTGGATTTAAAGAAAAATACTAAACTATAATTTCTGCACCGACAAAGGTGAAGAATTTGCTTTAGCAAAAATGTTTTGGCTCATTTGAAGTTATTGACATCTAACAAAACTAAGTTTGCTATGAAGGCATGTGTTTCATGTACAAAAGACAAATGTTACAAATTTCTGCTCAGATAATAAATATCATTATAGCTCACTATGTTGGCTTTTTAACTGCCTCTGTCATCCATAAACATTAAGGTCTGGCAGGAATATTAAACCAATTTGCTGATTTTTAGCTGAAATGAGCCAACATTCAGCTGCTACTTGTCTGTGAATAAATCACAACAAAACTTTACTTAGAAAACCAAACCCCAAGAATGAGCTGGAGGCACAATGTGCAAAATAAAGCATCAGTTAAACATGAGGTTCAAATAGAAAAACAACATCAGAGCCTGATTCTACGACATAAACCAGGACAATAGATTTGCATCTGTTTCACAGACTTTGCTGCAACCCTGCTGTAGAGACAAATGATGGAAACAGCTGGCAAAAACAGATTGTGACGTGTCAAAATGATCAATCAAAAACCTGATTATAGATACACAAATGTTGCCCCATCAAAGTGTTGAACTTTACGACATTAATACAGATAATTAGTCCTGCATGTTTGAAATAATTTTACACACTCCACAATCTCTCTTTTAAATGTTTTTTTTTTCAAAGTCTCAAACATTCTCCTGCTACAGAAGTGTTTTCTTTGGAACATTGTGTCACATTTCCAGCTCTGTGAGCAAGTTATTTGATTGCAGACGTCCTGGACCTTGTAAAGCATTTTTAGAAAAATTCAAGCTTTTCTTCAAGGTTCAGTGTCTTTTTTTCTTGACAACAAACTAATGGACCTGACACAAAGATGAAAAATTTCCTTTATAGAAGGGGAGTCAAACTCATTTTCACTGAGGGCCACACGAGCTTTATGGTGGCCCTAAAAGGGCCAGTTGTAATTAACTTGTGTTTAATGTCAACTAATCACGAAAGGTCATGTTCTTCATCACATTGCTATGGCTGAACACAGCTAAACAATAACTGAGCACTACATGGTAATTCCTGCATAGAAGCAGTGCTTTAACAAGTAAAAGTACAACAATCAGAGGGTCACAGTTTTTGGTTTTTGGACCTGAACATTTTCGGAATAAACTTTGCAGCCTTTCACTTCCTCTGGATGGCATTAATCTGGCCTCCAGTTCTAACGTAAAGAAACTTGGTGTTATTTTTGATCAGGAATATTAAAAATGTTACCAGGACCGCCTTCTTCCACCTGCGTAATATCGCTAAAATTAGAAACATTTTGTCCAAAAATGATGCAGAAAAACTGATTCATGCATTTATCACATCTAGTCTGGATTACTGTAATTCTTTATTATCTGGGCATCCAAAAAACTCTTTAAGAAGTCTTCAGTTAATCCAAAATGCTGCTGCTAGAGTTTTAATGAGAGTTGGAAGGAGAGATCATATTTCTCCAGTTTTAGCTTCTCTCCACTGGCTCCCTGTCAAATTTAGAACAGAATTTAAAATATTACTCCTAACATACAAAGCTCTTAACAACCAAGCTCCATCATATATTAAACATCTTGTTGTTCCACACTTTCCTAACAGAGAACTTCGCTCTCAGACTGCAGGTTTACTTGTGGTTCCTGGAGTCTCTAAAAGTAGAACGGGAGGCAGAGCTTTCAGTTATCAAGCTCCTCTCTTGTGGAACCAACTTCCAGTTTCTGTCCATGAGGCTGATACTCTGTCTACTTTTAAGATTAGACTGAAGACTTTCCTTTTTGATAAATCCTATAGTTAGACTTAGGTTTCCTGAGTTATCCCTTAGTTCTGCTGCAGACTGCTGGAGCACAAACTGACCACATTTCCTTACTCTGCTGCTGTCTTTAGTCACTCTCCTCTACATGTTTGTTTTAATTACTTTTATCAATAACAGGTTTTTCTTTGTCTCTCTTCAGAAGAAAATACACCTGGACCAGTCCCATCCAGGTGTCCAAAGTCTCAGGACAGGAAAGTCCCGTCCACTTTCCTGTCACACCCCCCCCCAGGTCAATGATGGCTTTGAAGCAGCATATTTTAAAGACCTTAATGTATCTTTGAAGCGCTCGCTGACCACATAAAATGTCGTGGTGGGCCATATTTGGCCCGTGGGTCTTGGGTGTGACACATGTGCTTTATTGGAATCCATCTCCATTTTCTGATACTATTGGTAATGAAAAATAATGCATATCAGCAGTGTATCAATGTTGTCTTTAAAAATATACTATGGGATAAATCTTGTACCTGCTGGAATTGAATTTGAATTGCTCAGATTAAATGTGCATAATTTGAAATTGAATGCATTGGTTTGAAACTGAATTTAAAGTTTTGTATCTGAATTAATTTCCTTTGAAACTGTATTTTGGTTTATTAAAAATTAAGTTTGATTACTTTCACTTTCAGTTCCAAAATTCAGATTTTTGTGTCACACATCCTGGTCCTTGAGAAAGCCAGCCAGAGTAATCAAACACAGATCCACAGATCTATGTTTCACTTTGAAGTTTTCCTTCAGTAATGTAACAGAGTTGATGCAATCCACCATAAAAGTGACAAAAACAGTTATTTTATTGCAGTGATTAATTTTACCTATAGGAAATGTTACATTTACATCACATCATGGATCAGTCAGCAGCAGCATCTGATCAATATGTGATCCATGATGTGATGTAAATGTTACATTTTCTAAAGGTAAAATTAATCACTGCAATAAAATAACTGTCTGTTTTTGTCACTTTTACAGTGGATTGCATCAACTTTGTTACATTACAGAAGGGAAACTTTACCAAAGTGAAACATAGATCTGTCATCTGTCAAATTCTCTGAATATTCTCTTTAACCATTGTCATCATGTTCCAAAATTGTTTAAAAAATGTCAAAATTAGCATTACCGCAGTGTGTTGATGACTTGACTGCATTTGATTCTAATGTGACTGATGGGCGAGGGAAAAGATTTTTCATGTTGGAAATTTAAGTTAGTTTAGATGAATAAAAAGCTTTTGCTCTTACATTTCCCAATTTATGAGCATGTGTAAAAAAGATCTACATCACAAAACAAACTTCATGTACAGTATGTAACATGAACTTTGTGAATATTATTTTTTCATTCTGATGAAACTGTTGGAATGGACTCATCAAAATATCCTGAGGAAATACCACTTTGTCATTTCATAAATTAGACTTACAGCAATTTGAACAATTTACAGTATTTCACTAAA